TAGTCATTTTGTACTGCTCTATCAAAGTACAAGTAACAGCTTACCGCCAACGAAGAACCATCACCCTTCATCAAGAATCCGTTCTACAGCCCGACGAACAGCAACGACAACAAGAACGACTCAAAGAGTACAAGCGAGTKTTCATGACGACAGTATTAGTGATCGTGTCGATTTTCTTTCATKTTCCTTTCATAATACTCKCAGTGATACAAGCCGTCACAGGTGAACATGTCATGAGTGATTCAAGATACATCGCCATTCCTATCTGTCTGACATTACTTCATCTCCAGTCTCTTATCAACCCAATCCTCGTCTCACTGCGTCTATCTTACATTCGCACAAGCATCAAAAACAAACTAATAAGTTGCTTTAACTGAAACTGAAATTCCTGTGTAATAAGTTGCCGTTATCTTTCTGTTACCKGCTCAAGTTATATATCTTCTACTACTTCCGTTGGTTGTGAACATTCATCACTTGAAAACCGTTACCTCTAACCAGGAGAACACATATGAAATCGTGAAAACATTGCCACTGCAGCATAATTCCAACWARAATCGTGAAGTTTGTAATTTAACTTTATTTTGACAAAAACTGGTCAATGAAACTTTGGCCAACATGGCCGACGTGTACCATCAATAAAAACAAAATCCTGATATATCATGCGACTACGCAAGAGTTAATTTCCGGAAACGTAGGCGAAGAACGCGTTTGCTTATGCCCGATGAATGTGTATRGCCGTMTTTSGAGGTAATTTTAATTATTAGTAATTTTTCTATTTTAGGACTGAAATATTTGAAAAATGATTTTTTTAATGATAAGAACACTTATTTAGAGGAACAGACCSCCCGTTGGCTCCTCTCAAGTTTTTTAAAAGAAGCTTTTGTTCCATCACTTAGCATATATGGATGAAGGTATATAGGGATACCCATAAGTAGAAGTCTAATTTTCTATGTATTGTCGGAGGGTATATACCAAGAACTAGGACAGTGTTTTCCTATACGGACTGACCTAATAGGCGGTAAATAACATTTYTATTTTTCATTGGTATTTTCTGCAACTTTGCTCGCAACCTCGAGCTGCAGGATCCGTGGACCGGGAAGATCGTGAAATACTGGACCGCAGGATAGCCAATCACAGGGCGTGAATATCGACATGGGTACCTATACATGTATAAAAATACAACAGGGAAATACAACWTATACAGCCTAACGAATAACACTGAAGACCTATTCAAATTGATAATAATCTATGATATAACCCGAGTAAGTGCTCTGAGAAAGGAATAAAATGAAAAATGTATTCACCATTCATATACTTTACGTATCACTACTCAAAAAGCTTATTTATTTATTATGTAATTCAACTGCTTAATTAAACCATAACCAAATATTAAACAAAACATTGCTATACGTCTTCAGGCATTTGA